GTAGTAGTCGCTGGGCGCCAAATCCTGAATACACATAAGTATACCCTAATTGCAACTCTCTAGTCATATAAATCAAAAAGATTATCAATCTGCAATGATGTCGCAATTGTATGTAGCGATAAGTAAATTTTGCATAAAGGCGACTGTTTGAAAAACGATTTTTATTTTCATTTCGCGCATATTTTAAAATTATATACATAAAAATTGGGATTATAGAGAGATTCTCTGAAAATTCAATAAAGCGGGTCCAGTAGAACTCGAGAAAACGTGGTATCCGTATTGAAAAGGTCTGGTTTGAGAATAACGCATTTAAAGTTTCGCGTAAAGTCTTTTGTTCGATGACAGTGGAACCAGTTTGGACCGGGTCAGTAAAATGCTATACTCGAAAATAATTAATTTTCAAAATCCTCGTAGACATATTCTTAAATAGTTAAACTTTGAAAATAAGAAAAATCAAATTTTTGAAACTCTACACTAGTATACCCTTAAAAGATACTCAACTTCAAATGCTTTAAACAAAGTATTATTGAGAGAATGACTTGTAACTTTGCGCCGACAATACGTAACTGTTTTGCTGTCGCCTGAAACCCCAGGCCGTCTGTTAGCTGTGAAGTCATTAAAATCTCAACTAATTAGTTGTGCTTTCCCGCAATAAGATTTATCATTTTAATGCACAAATTCACACGCGTCCACACGTCAGCGTTGATTTCGAAATGAGGCCACAAAACAAAGAACCAAAACCCGCTACAATTACATTACAAGCCTACGATTGTTAAAGCAACGTAATTAGCTAGCTAGTAAATTGCAGAAAAGTGGGCGACAGACGGGCGTACGGCAAAGCGCTGCCGTTAAAATCGCATTAAACCACTGGCGTTTAGCTGACTGTGGGCGCCTGCCGTCTAAACGTGCGCATGGGGATGTGGCCTCTCCGCAATAACCACCAAAACCCCTCAAACCGTTTGTAGCGGCTTTGATGGGCTTTAAAATGTTTTACATTTTCTACATATTGTCGACAGAGCGCACGAACGCGCGTTCGGTTTTCCGCTACGCGCAGTCATTAACCGCCACGCCACGCCAGCTGCGGCAAAGCGGCGTTTTTGCCGACGGCCGATTGCTCAATTTGATTTCATTTCGGCAATTTCTCATTTTCATAGTCAATTAAGTCAATCACACGCCCTTTTAGCCACCTTTTCAGGTTGTTCGCGCCGTGCGCTGCTGTTGGTGCGGTGGGCGCGCTTGAGCACTTCCGCTGCGGCTGTGCGACTGCCGCGCGGCGTTAATTCGCGCCTTGACGTTTATTGCTCAATTTCAGCGGTTTCCACAACAACAATGCGTGTTGTTGTTGGCGCGCGTGGCAACCGTAGCGAGGGTGAGTCCTTTTTTTGGCCGCGTAAGTTCCTGTCGCTGCGCGCTAGGCGCAACTGTAGCGTTAATGAGTGTGTGCGTGCGCTTGTGCATGCACCTTTTGCCTTTTCGCTGGCGACGTGTGGGCGCACTGGTGATGACAACATCAAAACATTAACAACAACGAACGCTATGCGACCGTTGAATAGCCTGATGCGCACTATTATTATTAAGTGCTACAATAACAACAATTTAGCTTCGTTGCTGTGTTGGTGGTGGTGTAAAGCGGACACGTGGCAGCTGCTTTTAAAATTGAATTTCCAAATTTCCGCTCATGTAATCTGCCCGCGTCAATTGTTTTGGTCGATGAATTGTGTTGTTGTTGCAACTGTTATTGTGCGGTGTTTACACGATGACGATAATGATGAGTTGCAACATGCATATGCGCACATGCAACATGTTGCTGGGTAAGCGCTGATGAAGCGACGCGTTGGCTTATGAAAAAGCTGCTGTGAGATGAAAATTTGCATGCAGAAATATTATATTTATTAAAATAATTAATAAAATTCAATTAAATATAATTTTTCTGTATATCAAAATATTATTTCTTTAAATTTTATCGGCACCAAAAATAAAAATATTTTGCCGCCAAGAAAAAATATGTTTTACACACTGAACAGCATATAATAAGTTTGCCACGTAGTTGGTAACACCTAGAAGGAGACGTTATAAAGTATGGTTATATTAAAGATTAAATATAACTGTACAGCGAAAGTCGATTTAGTCCGTCTGTCTGTTCGTTTGTCTGTTTGTATATACGCGAAATATTTCAGTTTTAGAGTTATCGATTTAAAATTTTTTCGTACTTTACTCCGCATCGTACCACTATAGCATATAGCTGTCATACAAACTGAACCATCGAAAGAAAGTGCTTGTATGGAAAACTTTTTCAATTGCTGAGATATCTGGATGAAATTTAGCCTGGATTATTGCCAAAGGTAAGGATATAATCTCCGGTGAAATTGTTCAGATCGGATCACTATAACATATAGCTGACATACAAACTGAACCATCGAAAAAAAGTGCTTGTATGGAAAACTTTTTCATTTGTTGAGATATCCTGATAAAATTTGGCATGTGTCATTGTCTAAAATAATGATATAATCTTCAAAGAAATTGTTCAGATCGGATCACTGTAGCATATAGCTGTCATACAAACAGAGCGCTCAAAATCAAGTTTTTGCGTGAAAACTTTTTTTTTATTGGTGCAGTGTATTATAGCTTCGTTGCAAACGAAGTTAACGGTTTATTTTGTTCTTTTATACACACGCTTTTTTATTAACATTAACTTATTACGTTCAAGCAATTTTCATTTACAAATATACATATAATTAAAACCATTATTTCAAAATTTTCTATTTTTTTCTATTAATTTCAGCAAAACACTGCTCAAATTCCAAAATTGTTTCCAACATTTCAAACACACTGCCATGCAGCACATTTTGGCCTCAGCAGACTTCCTGTCCCCAGTGCCACTCGAGCACACACACACACACACCAACAGAGCGCAGCACAAGCACATAAACCGCCACACAATGCGAAATGGCTCGAGTATGGGCAATAAAATGTCAACTGGCATTTAAAAGTGTCTTAACTATTTAAATAATCAAATAGCGACGGTAAGTAAGTGATTTGCTTTGCATACATACGCACATGCCACATATAGATGCATATGTTACATAAATATATTTACATAATTAAGTCAGTGAATGACACAGCGTGAGTGCGTGAGTGACTGTATGAGCAAACGATTGAGTAAGCCAATAAAGCGCATAAATGCATACAAATGTACATACAAACAACTTAGTGCAGTAGCCATGCGTTTTTATGTATGTGTGTGCATTTTTTATGATATCATATATGCGTGCGCATGTGTGTGTGCGTGTTTGTCAAATCCAAGAACGCAATTAAAGTTGCCCTACAATCGTCTTATCAATGAGCTTTAAATCGATATGTTTACCCAGTTACATATATGCAAACATACATGCTCGTATATACATGCATACATACATACAATAAGCGAATGAGTGTGTATTTGTGTGTGTGTGTGCATGTTTGCTTGATACGATCAGCACCTTGGTGCAGTTTGATTAATTTGTTTTCCAACATTTTATCAACAACTCTTTCTGCGCACATACATACATGCATATATCGACATACATATGCGTGTGCATATATATTATATAGGTATATATAATTTTTATCAGCCCTTTTGTCAGCATTACACTTTATATTTTATCAATTTGTTTGCCTATAATTCATTGAATTCTTTATACGCATAAATAGGCGTGTGTGTGTGTGTGTGTGTGTTTTCGCTTATGCTTCTATGCTTCTCGTGTCTGCATATGTTCCACTGCCTTATCTGACTGCATTGCGTTCCAGTTCATCCTTAACATAAATACTTTTGTTTGATATCACTGATTTTATGATTTCACCGTTTTTTTTTCATATGGATTTCGCTTTAAGGCGCTCTCAAGTGGTTGCTGGCATTCATTTCATCTTGTTTTCATCAAATATTTTGCTTTGTATTTGTTTATTTTGTGTGTAATATTAAGGGGATTACGAAGCGAAGAAATACTTTTGTAGTAAGCTCGCTTGGAAGCTAACAACATCACCGTTACATATATCTCAGGTCTCATACTGCTGCGCGCAGCTTTTGTTGTTACTCAAAGCTGCGAACATCTTTTTTAAGTCTGCTTTAAACTTCGGTTGCACCGAAGCTATAATACGCTTCTCAAATACAAAGGATCCTTGCAAAACCGTGATCGGTCAATTTGTATGGCAGCTATATGCTATAGTGAACCGATCTGAACAATTTCTTCGGAGGTTGCTCTATTTCGGTGGATGATAACCTATGCCGAATTTCGTGACGATATTTTGTTAAATGAAAAAGTTTTCCATACAAGCACTTGACTCCGTTCGTTCAGTTTCTATGATAGCTATATGCTATAGTGGTTCAATAACGGCGATTCCGACACATGAGCAACTCCTTGGGGATTAAAGGACGTGTTCAAAATTTCAGAACGATATCTCAAACACGGAAGGAATAGTTCGGAAGGAATAGACAGACCAACGGACCGGCGGACATGGCTAAATCGACGCAGCTCCGCACGCTGATCATTTACATATATATCTTATAGGTTCTTCGAAGTTTCCTTCAGGGTATAATGCGGATGCACGGATAACAATCCCTCTTCCCTTCAGAGTCTTAAATCAATCAATCTTCTACAAAGGGCTGAGCACCAACTTAGCTAACTTCTAGTTACGTTTTGTGTCTACGAGCTCTACCAAGTTTTGTTCCGTACTTCGTTTGATAAAACACTCAATGTAGTGCTCGTGGGCAAGTTAGTTGGGACGGTGCTTCGCTATGTCCAATAAAAGTTCAGTTGTAGCGTATAAATTGTTGCAAGATGGCGCTCTAATTCCTCGAATTTTGAGTGTAAAAGTTCTTCGTTTGCTTAAAACTTCAACAGCAACAAGTTTTAATGTAAGAGCACAATTTGCAAGACTTGAAAAACTTGAGTAGAACGCAATTTACACTACGTAAAAGAAAGAATCTGTTTTTATTAGCGACCAAAGACGGCAAGCTCGGCAGCAATCTTGAAAACTACAGATACGGTTGTTTTGTTTCTTAAACAACAATACTATTCACCGAAGAGCGTTACATTTTAAGGGATCTTACTGCTAGACGTATGGAACTCTTTCTTAAAAGACCTAGAGGAGCTTACAGATGCCTTCGTCATAATAAAATCAATAAAATTAAAGCAATTTGCACCATACAGTTTCTGGGACATTAAAGTTTCTATAAAGTTTGCTGTGTAAAAGACTGAGGTTCCGGCACAACATAATGAGTTCCGTGCAGTAAATCCGAACAACTTGTGAAAAGTTTAGATATTGCGGCTCGAAAGTGATGGGGCTTGAAGACGAATACAAAACACTACCGCCTGCTTTGAAATGAAGAATAAAAGAGTTGGATGGTTGCACCTGATCTTAGGAACTGTTTTACGTGAAATTTATGTAGCTGCCTAGCGATATTGAAGTAGGTGGTAAAATGAAACGAGCTCGAAGGCTTAAAATTGTGGTATAGATCATACTTTGGGTAGAATTTCGCTGCGCAGGCGGCTAACATCTATTCTTGGACATTACATGTTTCTGGGACAACTTGGCAAAAGAAAATATTTTGGATCGAGCACCAAAGCTCGTTTGTGTTCGTACTCGTATATCAGCAATAGGTGCTCGAAAGCAATTTTATCCTCATCAGCGTTGCATTTCTGCTCGTTCTCTGTCATTCATAGCAATGCTTTGGCAATTGCTAAACCAATAGCTCACAGTAATGCGATAATATAGATAATATATGGTACTTTACTGTTAACCTCGTACTCTTAACCCACTTACATGACATGAAGTTGTCAAAAAAAGTGAAACAGCTGTAAAAATAAAATCGACAATCAACATTCAATCAAAATATATTCAATGAGAAACTCGCCTTTCACTTTATTTGTGTTTTAATAAAGAAAATTGTTACTAAATAATTGTTAATAAAATAAAGAACGCGCATAAATAAACAACAAATCAGCAACATAAATACGACATACTACTATATATCCTTATCGTTTATCGTTTATTAAATCACGTCGACGACTGCGACGAGAACCAGATAACGTGCAACTTTAGTTCTTCGCTTCACTCACTGACAATGTAATAATTTCTGCTGGACGGACAAGCGATAGCGATGTTTGACAGCGCGTAAATAACAAATACTACGCAACAACAACGACAACAAAAAAATTGTATTTGACGTGTTTCTATTTTTAAACTATGGCAAGAAGTTAGAAAAAATTTCAAATGATGCAACTATGCATACATACAGGTTGGTTGAAAAGTTAGATGGCCTCACCAAGAAATAGCACTACTAGCTCCAATTTATTTTTTCTCACCAGCAATCATTGAGCAAGTTCATAATATTGTTCGTGTAGATCCAAGTTTGACTAAGCGTGATATTGCTAATGCTATTGGATCACCCTATATATATGCCACAATGATACTCTTCCATTTATTCCGATCTTATGCTACACTCTTGTTGTGACTTTAACATTTTTGGAACTTAGATATTTCAATATCCAAATTTTTGTTTTAGGTTAGAGCGGGTCTGCCGTTCCGTCGGCTGCCTAGTTTTCCTTTTTCTGTCGTTGGCGTTCCGTGTGATTGTGTCTGCAGCTCGTCTTAGAGCATGTCCGAGCCAGCCTGGTCAGCTAGATACCTTGTAATATTAAATCAAATCGGTTTTGCCAACCTCGCTTTTCTGATACGCTTGTATTGTAGTTATTCTGGTTAGCTTTTTTTGGGTCTATATTTTAGATCTCAATATAATGATTTGCATCTTTTGCTGGAGCTTATAACATATTGTAGTTTTTCGGTTTATGCCTGATATTTTTTACCTTCTTACTCACTTACCTCTTCGTCCCGCTTTTCTCTGCGTCAGAGCGTGCACTTGTCGCTACCGCTTGTCTAACAATGTGCCTTTTTGTTTGATAAACCAAAATCGGCGTGACCAACCGGCGGATCGTACGAGTTACTGGACCGCCTACTCGCTACAACTGATATACGCACACATACATAATTATCTACACATATACCATATATATAATAAATTATAAATATGTGTCAGTTAGCTGGTTATCATCGTTATATATACGACACTTCAACGAACGCATGTAACGCGACGCTGCATAGTGCTACCTAACAACCTATATATCATGGCATTTTATGGCACCTCCCTCAGCAGAGCGGCGTGGGTTGGTTCCGCCTCGCACACCCTTGCACGCTATAGCTAACCGCCATACGAACGCTGCTCCACAGCTGCTGTGTTGTTGTCGCGATCGTTTGCTTGAAGTTTTTATTTCGGCTTCTTGAGAATTTCAAGTGTTCGTACTGGCTCCAAAGCAATACCAAACCCTGTACACCTGTCGTAGTCAATTCGCACGCAAAGTTGTTGTAGCATTTGTTATTTTTTGGTTTGTTGTAGTTGTGGTGTTCATGTCACTTGTTGTACTTGTCACTGCGTTTGCACGGACAAAGCGGTGTATTGATGACGCCGCTAAAAATGACTACCAACACGAATGACGCAGAGCCCGGACCGTGTTTCATCACGTTGCCGCTTTTGCCGGCGCCAATGATGATGATGTGTAATTTAATTAGTCGTTTATTAGTTGAACACTCGTTTGTTTTATGAGACACTCGAGAGCTGTACTTGAATGGAGAAGTGTTTTGTGGCGTCGCATATTTTGTTATTTTGCTTTGGAACATTGTCTTTTTGAAGTATTGCTGCTGTGTCGACATGATTTATACAATAGCGCTGAAGCTCGAGTGGTTCTACAACGTCGATTGAGGTGTAAAGCCAATTATTGGCAATTTAGATTAGCCGACGGCCACACATGGCGTGAACTTGCGAAAAGTTTTCCTGATAGGTACACAAGCAGTGAAGGTGAAATTGTTGTCGCTCAGTGAGTAACATAAACCCGAGTTTTGTAACACTGTAACTGGAACTTCATGCTGTATCATCTGTTCAGAGCTCGTCTTGACGACAAAAGCTTATAACTTATCGCTGCGAGCCACTAATTTTGGCGACTACTCTCTAACTAACTAGCTCTGGCTAAACTTGTCTATTCATACTGTGACTCTAAATACGACTTAGCAAACGATTTAGTAAACGCTGTTCTAAGTGTGTATATTGCTGTTCCTTTGCGTCTTAGCTAGAGTAGCAACTCACAGAACAGTCGCATCATTTGTTTCTGCTATGTGAGAGAATGAGCACATCCTTACTGACCACATTTTGCACCACCCTTTTAGGTAGTTTATCTAAAAGCATATGCTTCCGTTTTTTGACTTATTGAAATGATAGTTTTAAAGCTATCGAATTAAGGCGTTACTTTTGCGCTTTTGACTCTGCGTGTTTAAAAATGCGCTACGCAGCCGACAAGCGAAAATTTTCGGTAAAACTGTACTATAAATAATACTTCGCGACACTGGGAAGAGCACGTAGGCGCTCAAAATATTATTGTGGTAACTTGTTCTTCTTTTTTTGAGGTTATCTGTGTCAGCAAGCGTAGAAACGTCAAATGTACTTGCACTTGAATTCAATTGTGAAATATTTTTGCTCGTTAAATCCGGAAATTTTGTATTGCTGACAACAATTTTGATAGGTTTTTTACTGCTGCGCTTGCATAGATTACCAATTTTTGTATAAATATAGATGTTATTGTCAGATAGCTGCTTATTGCTGCTGTTTCTTCAGCTTAATTAACTGAACTACAATACGGTTAGCGCTAGTTCGATCGGACTTGTACCGGCGTGAGTTAAGATTAGGGAAAATTCGACAGTCGAAACAGTCAGAAGATGGCGTGAAGATTAGATAGGTGTATGGAAAAGTAATTTGTGGGGTAAACAAAAGTCATGACGCAAGTGAGGCACCGCGCGATAAAAGCAAATGTCTACAAACTATAGCGAAATAGCGAGCGAGAGAGAAAGAGTGTTGGCATGTGTGTGGTAGTAGATGGGTAAGGCAGGTGGCTGATTGGCAGCTTTGCCTGTTCTAATCTATTTTGTTGTTGGGTTCGAAACAATATTTCTTTTGGGCGGTCTCCGATATATTTTCCCGTTTTTTTTATTTAAAAAACTGCAATGTTTTCATATGATATACCAATATTGATATTTTTTATTATTTTTTAAATTTTGTTTTGTTTTAAATTTGCTAACATTAAAATATACAGTTTTACATAAACATACTCTATTTATTTATATATTTATGTTACTATAATAATAAGAGTTAATTTTTTGTTTTTCATTAAGTAACATCTAGGAAAATAAATTTTCATAATTTTTTTTGTTTAGAAATAAATTTTTAAAAATTTCGAATTTTCAAAACTGCTTTTTCAACTATTTTTTTAGTACTATAGCAGCCATTTTACATTTAGAAAAATAAATTTTCATAATGTTTTTTTTAGAAATAAATTTTTCAAAAATTTCGAATTTTCAAAACTGCTTTTTCGGCTACATTTTTAGTACTATTATATATCAGAAAATTTACATGCGCTTTGTATAGGTATTTAAAAATTTGTAAAAATATTGAATTTTAGTAAATATTAATTTTAAAATTTTGTGATTTCATATATTTTCCATTCAACGTTTTTTATATTTATTTGTTTTGTTTAAGATTTAACTTAATTTATACAATTTTAAACTACGTTTATGTTATACTTTTGGCTTAAAATATTTTTTATAGCTTGCGTTTTTGTTTTCGCATAATGTGAAAATAATAAAATTACCTCAAAAGTGTAAATTTGGACGTGAAAATTTTTGAAATGAGCGTAACCTTGGAAAATTTGTGTTTTTTGTCTGAAAAGTTTTTTTAAAAATGCATTTATTTTCCTATAACACTATTCAAATAAAGTTATTTACAACATATTTTTAACATGAAAACATTTTTATTGATATTTACAATTTTTTTTTTTAAATTTATTTACACTTTTGCGAAATGGTGCTTGCCTTTTTCTTCAATTTTTTTTATGTAATACCATTTTTCTACTAATTTTATTGCACCACAGCGACTGCCAATACGACACTAAAAATTTTGTGTATTTTGTGTTTTTGTTTACTTTTCTGTGCTTTTGAAATTATTGTCCAATATTCGAGTAGTGCCGTTAAAATATCAACTGCTGTCTCAAAAAAATGTTTTCCAGCCAATTTTACTTTGCGTGTATGAAAGCTCACACTTGAAGCTTTCACCAATTTGAGCTTTCATCAATTTAAGCTTTCACCAATTTGAGCTTTCAAAAATTCGAGCTTTCATAAAATGAAGCTTTCAATAATTGAATGTTCGCTTGACAAAGCTGTCATATGCTCAAGTCTACATCCGTTGAAGCTTTCACAAAATTATCACCCAAAACGCTTTTGTTATTGCTGTTTTTACTGTTGTCATTTTCACACTGCACCAGCGCCAGTGCCACGTCGCCACATCCGATCCACTAGCTCTCAACAATATTAGGGCCACCATGGGCGCTGATGTGAGTGCGCATGCGCTGCATGTAAACCCGCTGCTGCCACTGCAGCCGCATGTTGATAGGCCGCGGCGCCATTTGCATGCATTACCAAATTATGCGCTGCTGCCGCATTTTGCATTTGCTGTGTCATGCAATCCTGCGGCAGTTTTGTGCCATCCGCCAAGCATGGTTTGCCATTTCGTACCAAAACCGGCACGGCCACGCGTCGCGGTGAGGGCAGCGCGGCCGCATGATGCGGATGCATGGCGGGATGATGCTCGTAGACGCCTTTTTCATTTTGTGCACGTTTCGTCTTGTAGCGATGATTTTGGAACCAAATTTTGACTTGCGTTGGTGTTAGACGTATCAAACTGGCGAGATGTTCGCGCTCCGGCGCCGATAGGTAACGCTGTTGGCGAAAACGTCGTTCCAATTCATAGGTTTGGGCTTTGGTAAAGAGCACGCGCCTTTTACGTTTCTTATTTGGCATGCCGTCGGCACCATTGGCAGAGCCATTACCATTTTCTTCATCGTTTTCATCATCCAAAATATCCTCTTCAATGCCATCCTCAATGAGGCTGTCGTCGTGCGGATTAGAGGACGAGCCGCCGGCGCTGGTGTTATCCGCGCCTGCGCCGCCACCGCCACCACTGCCTGGCATGCTTTTGTTGAGCTGTTGGTGATGCGCATGCAGCTGGTGGTGTGCCGCGGAGCCGGGATGGGTTTGCATATGCAACGAATTTGCATCGCCGACGGAGAGCGCATCGCTTTCGGCAGAACGACTGTAGGTTTTGTAATCGCCAGAGAGCGCTGGCGAGGTTTGACAATTGGAGCCAATGTAGGTATAGGAGACCTCCGAGGTGTGTGGTGATGTGCTGTCAGGACTGGCTGGCTGTTGCATGCCTGCAGAGAGAATAAAGAAGAGAGGTTATGTTTATTTAGTTGATTATGCATAAAATGATATTTGGGTGTTTTACAGTAGACTTGTTGGTAGAAAATTTTGTACGTTTGGAACATGCTACATTAGCTAAGTCTTGTCAGGAGTGGTCTGTTCGACTTGGTCAAGCTAGTCGCTAAAAATAACTTTCAGTCATTTCCAGTTTTGTCTTTAGTGCAGTCCCATCAGTCTACTTCAACTCAAACAACTCTTTTTCCCTATGCTTCGTTGTTTCGACGCGTTCTCAAAATATTTTCTTTCTCGCGACTCTCCAATGCATATCAACTATTAAAAATCCAATTTGTCTTACTTTTCGTTCAATTGCGCACTTCTTCTTGCCATTATTTTCACATTGCTCAACTTGCATTGTGAGTCTCTTATACCCTATAAGCCACATCTCTGCCACGTATCCTGGGCGGCAACACTACAAAATACCTTAATTTATTAGCCTCTCGCCTCTAAAGTTGGCACAATGGGAGGACAAACAAACAGCGTATCCCGTCAATTTTCGTAATTTGGGCGGAAATAAATTGATGTACAACAAAAATTGACAATCATTTCTTGTACGCCGATCTCGCTGCCCTAGCGCTCACAATGCCAGTGAGAGCGTAATGCGTGGCAATGACGCAATGCTATAACAATGCGGGCAGAGCAAAACCGGAAGGATGGCACATGGATTAGATCACACCTTCATTTGAGGTTTTCACTTTTCACACAAAGCCCAATTGAAGTCGCACAAAGGGCGAACAAGCGACGGTTAAAAGTATTTACTTTTTATACACCAATTCAACAATTCCATGCGAGTTTCCAGGGGGAGCAGCACAAATGCAACTCATCACGGGGGGTGTGGACATGCAAAGCCACTGTCACTGCAGTCGTTGGCTATTTCATATCTGCACCAAGGTGATAGCAGAGGAATGCAACAACAATGCAATGAGAAGGTCAGATAACTGACAAATGGGGAAGCGCTGGAAGTAGGAAGTAGCTGAGCGAGCTGTACACTTAGCGAGGAAGTATGGTAAAGTCAGTGAACGCACTGAAGCCACCGCTTGGTGGAATTTGTGAGGCCGCACGCTGAGCCATTGAAAACAGCAAATAAAAGAATGTAAAATCAAGGCAACCATTGCGGAAATCACCTAGCTGCGGAGCGACAGAGAGCCATAACATATGAGTGAGGCGTGTGAGTAAGAGAGCGCGCGCTTGCATTAACGCTGCGTATGTGGTTTGTTCAGTTATGAATGAATGAATGCGTAAAGGGCGTGCGAGTCAGCTCAGGTAGAGCTCTGCAGAGAATGCGTGTGTATTTCATTGAAATAATAAGATTGATGGGATTGTGAAAACTACAGGAGGTTCGGGTATTTAATTGATGATATTAGTTTATGTATAGTTAGCTAGACAATGGCAGGAAGAAAGAGAAAATGCTAATCATGGACTGCATATTAATATTTTTCAAATTAAGTGCGGGAAGATCGATTTCGAAAATAATGTCAGCGTTACCATTCAAATGACACTACCAAGGTCATAGTGGAGCTTATAGTATGAGCCTTAAGGATTCGCGGACTTTGAAAAGCTGATTCGAAAGCAAAACTGTTGCTAAAACTAAATGCTTAGAGTTGCAGCTATTAATTACGAACGTTTCAAAAGACGGTGTCGAAAATGTCGGAATTCGGAGTTTGTTTAGTGCTTCTAGCGTATAGCCGTAGCTATCTCAGTACCGCCGCTAAATGTAAATTCTTGCAGCCGCTTCTTTTCTAAAGCGCGCTACTGTCTTCATTACTGAGCTCTCATGATCCGAAAATTCGTTTTTCGTCGACCAAAAGTTTGCAATTTCATAGAATCCAACATAAAAATGCCAGTTTACTCTCACGCCAACCTCAATGGGTTTGTTGCTACATATGTATACTCATATGACTTTGCCACCCGAAATCACACATCAATTTCACTTTCAAAGCCATTCGAACCCATGTACCGTCTTTGTCCGGTTGCGAAGGGGGGTGTATCCGCAACACCAAAGGTATGAATACAACAATGCGTAGCCGTAAAATTATCGACAAATTTTCCGTGTTAACCTTTGTGTTTGCTCAACAGCCACCACCAACAGCACCACTATCACCATCATAGCACCGGTGAGTGCCATACAAACCAAGCAAAACAACAACAGGCCGGCCATCAAATACAATTAGTCACATTAGCTGACGTCTACGACTCTTCCCGGCTTCTACCAACTCAATGCAACTCTGCAAACATTTTATGGGTTAAGTATTGTTGTTGCTGCGTTTGTTAGGTTAGCTAGGTTTGTGCTTGTCATTAATTGTAAGTTAAAAAGTTATTTTCATTTAACACAATTTCGATACGAGTACATATATATTGCAATCTTAACAAGACAAGAGGCAGATGTTCAACATCACCGCACACTAACACACCCCCCTGTGCATACACACACACATACAAGTACAAATATGGTTATGTGTTGCGTTCGCATATATGGCAAACACGCATGCCGCAAAGTATGCTGGCGAAAGAACCCTCGTACTCTGCGTCGTAGCCGCGCTGGCATCTGCCTTGTTTTTTTTATTTTTGTTGTTTATATTTTTGCTTACGAGGTGTATGCGTATTTTCCAAGTTACATTTAAAATTTGCCTAATCATATTTGTTTGACTCTTCGTTGTTGTTTTGTTGCCGTCTCATGGCGCTTTCGCTATTTTACACTTTAGGATTAGGCATATTTGTTTAAATGCACGGCACTCGAGGTCTCAATTTTCCAACGGAGTCCCGTTTTAATTTGTACTCTCGCTAAATTGTCACGCACTACCGTTATATGAGTCCCGAGGCGAGCCGCGCCACTGTTTTGAGCACTTTAGCAGCTGTCTTTTAACATTTTTATTTTGTTTACCCCTTCCCCGGTCGCTGTTTTGCAGTTATTAAGTCATTAGAAAAGTGTGGTTATGTTGCCTAGGTAATGCGGATTTATTACTATTAAATAAGCTTAATTTGTTGTTTTTAAATACGAGTTGGTAGGGGTAAGGTTTCCAAGGATATTCATAATGACTAAAGAAGTTTTAGAAATATATGATCTCACTGCATTTCTTGGTGAACTTAAGTTCCTTCGAGCGTTTTTAAGCTTAAACATAAAACTCCGAATCAATTACAAAGCTCTCTCATATCTCAGTGGGAGGTACTCAAAGCTATTTTAATATTAAATTAATTTAAATAAATATTAAATGTAAGCTCAAAAGCTGAGCTGAGCTTTAACAAGTTTCAAAACAGTGCTTTGGATAAAAAGCTCTTTAACTTCTCAGTGCGTGATTGTTAAAGCTATTTTAATATTTAATGCAAAAAGCTCAGCTTTTGAGCTTTCACAAGTTTCAAACAGAGCTTTTTGAGCTTTCACGAGTTTTAAAAGAAGCTCTTGAGATTTCTTGTATGAAGGGTTAAAGACAGTTGTGGTTGGTTGGTATAGTGCCTGGGCCGAGCTGAGCTTTCACAAGTTTCAAAGCCACGCTTTGAAGCTTTCACAAATTCTAAAAAAAACTGTTGAGATTTCTTGTATGAAATGTTCCAGACAGTTGTGGATGGTTGGTATAGTGAAGACTGCGCAAAGCTTAAAAGCTCGTCAAATATTCTTGACAATTTTAGATATTCGTCTTTTTTGTAACCAATTTCTGTGGATCTCGCACTACTGACTCATCTAAGACTACTGTTTAATTCAAAACAAAGGCAATCGCTTATAATGCTTTTTCGTATAATCATTTGCTCTCAAACACTTAACAAAAAAAATCAGTTTCTTTTACTCACCATAAAGCTCATTTTCCTTAATCCACGCGCTACGCGCCGGATGCGCCAACACTGTGTGCGTCATCTGGTGATACGACGACAATTCATCACTAAAACTGGTGAAGTTCTTTGGCAAATATTGTCCAGCAGCGGCTGCGGCTGCCGCGGCCACGGCATTGTGATGACTAGCGATCAGGTGCGCGGTTGCTTGTGCTGAGGCAGCATTCGCCGCCACAGCCGCGGAGCTTTGATGGTGTGCTGAGACTGGCTGTACGTTGGCAGCGGTGCCATTGACGACACCACCTACAGCTGCTGGTGTTGGTGTGGTGCCGGCGGAGTGTTGTGTTGGCTGATCATCGTTGGGTACCGTTAAGGTATTGCTGGAACCGGTGCCGCTCAAAACGGATGCCGGTGGTGTTAAGTGTGCGCTGTGAGCCTCACCATTGCTGTTACTATTGTTATTATTGTTATGTAAGCTAGTGTTATTGTTGTTGTGATGCTGAGGCAGATGATGTGGCAGGTGGCTAGAATGATGCTGCTGCTGCGCATGTTGACTAATATCCGTTTGGCTGTGTGGGCCAACGGCAGCGGCATGTGGCGGCCCGACGCCATTCTTCAGCTCGCTGCCGTCCAAATTGAGTATGTCCGATATGTGAAAGCCGGAGGAGCGTTGCGAAGGCGGCACCTTCGTATCGAAGAGACTGTTGGGGAGAGAGCGAGTGTGGGAAAAGTTAGCATGTGAGATATCATATATTTGTTAACGTGTTTTATATATGAATGTGATGTGTGTACGAATATGTGTTTAGAAATAAAGTGTGAGGTGAGTTAGTCGCAAATAACGTTTCTCCGCTGCAAGTCTAATCCGAAATAGACTAGTAAAATGATTACTCAAATTTTTAAATATTTGAAGGTTTTATGCAAAAAATGCTGGTCCGACTAGTCTCTAACTAAACACTTCCCAAAAATCTATGTTTTTCTATGGTTGTAACACACCTTTTTATGTTATTCTGACTTTTGTGTAAAAAAGTTACGTTACTAACTGTCTACTTTCAAGGTAAACACTTTGAATAAACTGAGAGTATACGGTTTTAGTTTCGAGGCAGTCTACCGCTAGCAAGTGTATTGTATGACCATTGTAAGCACTGATTATGCTGACCGCACAATTGACCTTTCTCGAATGTTTTGCAGCCAAAACGAACGTCGGGAATTCCGCTCACATTACAACTACTTGTTACCTTAGCTGCGCTTTAAGGACAACCGTATTTCTACTTAAAAACTCCAAACAATATTTCAAGCACGTATTTCCCCAAAGTCACTACCGCGCGCGTACGCGGGAAATACCAACGCGTCGTCGCGTAATGCTCCTATTTACGCGTAGAGGCGGCGAGTAATATTACTTAGACGCCAAAAATAAATAGTTTTATAACACTATTGTGCTATTAAAAACAAACGAAATCCGCCGGCGATCACTCCCATCGTACGAAAGTACTCAAGTGTCTGCGACTTCAGCGGAAAGACGACGAAAGGCTCTACGAGCTGCAAATGCACTTTCGGCACAGCGCAGATTTCGCTATGAAGGTTGCTGGCCGTTATGTTACGAGTGGAATTTCCACATTAGGTGCAATAGGGGAATTCCTGGCCAAATATGAAACACATGTGTGACCAAAAGTTGAGTAGTAAACGGGCGCGCAAGCGTACAAAGAAAATCAAAATGCAAACAAACAAAGCCGGCGAGTAATGTATATTGCCATAGCATAAATATATGAGCGCTAGCAGCGACAAGGCAAGTGGACCGCGCACCAGCCCAAGCCGTCTGTGCTACTGCGAAACGAACGCCAGCACAGGTAGGCAATTGGGCAACAGCGCTGGCGACAGACTGTCTGGCAGTGCGGGATTCCCCAGCCGTAGAGGCGAACATGCGGCACGCTAACAAGATGACCTCTAAAGTAATGCCGCTGGCAAGCGTTGGTGCGACGAACTTGTAACGGCGTGGGAAATACTACAGCAGCAACACTTGCGAGCAGACGAAAGGCATAGACAGCCAGGCAGATAGACGGAAGATTTGTTGTGCGGACGTACATTGTGTATCAGTCCGCTCTATCGCCATAGATCACACTAGGTACGTATACAGTCGTAACCTGCGCCGTTCGCACTGTGCTGTTCGTTTGGGAAACTTCAATTTGGGAAAACCATAGATTGCAACGCAATCTGTTTATTGCAACTATTGTGTGTGTTTGTTGGTTGGTTGCAAGTGCAGGAAGTAACATATGTTTCGCATTTGCAACGCCTAGCGTGAACGATACAATGCGGAAGCAGAATGTCCGAGGTAACCTGTGAAAAGAAGATAAGATTGTACTCGCACAGGTACACTCGTGCGGTCGGCAAGAGCTATGCACTAAACGAGTTTCACTACTAATCAGATTTGATTGTTAATTGTTGTGGGTATTAAGAAAAATTTAAATCGAATTTATTTGAATTTGTTTGCTTAATGTAAGCTGACTTAAACGAGGTAGTGCGACAAATGTGGCATACACCGATTAGCTAGTCGATGGCTAAGACGTAAGCCTACACAGTAGCACAGTAAGTCCGGCTGAGCTCAAACATATGTGCGTGAGTGTGGCGGTGCACTGCCAAAGGTGCGAATAATCCGACGATTTGCTAGTTTAAATCAAAGTTAATTTATCAAAGGCAGGGATTTGCTCGGCAGCTCGCTGGTTGTAACTAAACTAAAAGAAGTCCGAAGAAAGAGCATGCGTAAGAAGCGAGCGTGTGCATTAAAAGAATGTCGGTATACTGAAACCCACACACCTTTGTGAATGTTCCTCATAAGAGTGACGTTTTATTACGTGTTTACAGCCGATTATGGAGAGATACGTTTAATAACGTCTAACCTTCTGGTAGTAAAGAGCTCGCGTACCTCACGAATATAGCTTTGAATCCTTCGAAGCTCAAGAAGTAGATATTTTTCAATAATATCTTCATTACAGAGCTCGCGTACTTCAAGAATATTTCGTTGGATCTTTCGAGGCTCAAAAAGTAGACATTTTACAATAAAGTCTCCATTGAAGAGCTCGCGTAGCTCAATATTATAGCTTTGAATCCTTCGAGGCTCAAAGAGTAGAGATGTTCAAATAAAATCTTCATTTTTATTAAAACAAATTTGTTTGCAAAGCTTTATAAAGTTCCGCAGTGTCCCACTTTTTCCCAAATCAAAGTGATGTATACTTTTTTGCAGCTTTCTTGTCGAGGAAGTTCCTCAGTTAAGATATAACGCTTTGGTTTGCTTGAGCAACCCATGCTCAATATATAATATATATATGCTTGTATGAAACACTTTTTCATTTCGTTAGTTTCTATAGAAATTTGATCTTTACAAACACTTCGTTTCGGAACTTAAAGAATGAGAAAAATAATAATTGAAATATTTTTTAAGAACGTCAGAAAATCGAACCGGAAATGTTCTTTTGAGTGTATAAAAATTAGTTTTTTGTTTTGTCAAATTGGCTTAACGATCTTGAATAGCTATTGTTCCAAAAACCTGACCATTCTGCACACTCGCACAGGTAGCGAGTCCCCGAATTGAAATACTTGTGTCAAAATCAAAGGAATCACGTGTTTGTGAGTACCATTGTATTGATTTCCGTCTTTTTATTGATTTCCTTTATTTATAACACTTTGTGAGATCCATCTATAGAACTGGAGGCTGTGCGCATAGACAAGTGTGTGGATAATTGAAAGTCATTGACTTAATATTTGATTCTTTAACAAGCGGATGTGTTAGCAAAGGGAAACGAACATAAATTTTCCGTTTGTTTTGGCATTGTTTGGGCCAAATTTGGCTACGTTTATTTGGGAGTTGATTTTTGCAGCTAGAAAGCATATAATTTTTTCTGTTCACACTTAAATTGCAGCGATCTCTGCATATTTCCTGCTGCAAAAGAACATGATTTGAAAATATATATGTATGTTCTCTCGAAATTCGGCTCAAAACTTGGAAGGACGATTACCTTAGGCTTTCACTTTATAATTTGAGCACACTATATACTAAACTCCAACTAATATTGCGGAAAGTTTACGAAAACACTCGAATAAGGAAATATTTTCATGGAAAACCTTAAGGTTTTGCTCGACCCACTTAAAATTGTTCACTTTCTATATGCTTACCCCGGTAACGCGCTACGCAAAGCCGCCGGATAGAACGCGGGCAGCAGTGGATGTCCCCATGGTGGCAGCAGTATCGGTGACCAAGGCAGGAAAGGAGCCGCCGCTGCGGCAGCTGCAGCCGCGGACGGTACCATTAAACTGCTCATGCTGTGCAACGAAGGAAAGGAACTGAAAGCCGCCGCCGCTGCAGCATTTGTGGGCAAACGTAAATGATCTGCGATCGAGGTGGGCGTAACAGTCGCTGAGCTATACATTGGCACTGCACGTATAGGTGAATCGACTTGATCCTTTGTTGTGCACGCTGACGCTGTGGGCGATGTGGCGCGTGTGGGTGTGGAAGTGCGCGGCGGTGGCGGTAATGCGGGCGGTGTCGGTGTTCTAGAAGTACGTCGCGCTGTGTGCAAATTGTTGCGCGGCTTGGTGGGCGAGGGTGGTGGTGTGGCGGCGCTGGAGGAGAGCGATTCAAGCGATTTCCGTCGGTGCAGTGGTGAACGCGTTGGCCGTACCGGCGACGGCGTGCGTTTGCGTTTCTCAGCCACTTTGACGGTGTTGGCGGTACGCGGCTGCGGCAGTAGAGTAATCTTTATGTAAAAGTTTTAGCTTTAAAAGATTGCTGAGGTCTAGTAAACTGCTGATACACTTTTGCCTACGATTGATTAGTCAAGGACGTCTGTTGGTGCGCGTGTAATTAACTTTTCTTTGTTTAAATGATCACTGGTTTAATGAACACTTTAGATAAATATGGTCCATTGACCGGGCTTCATACATAAAAAACACACTTTTTTATTGTTTCTTGACATAACTTTTAACGACTTAATGTAACTTCACTTGGTTTTTCAACAAAATCAGTTTCTGTGCTTTTCGAACTCTGTTTTTATGCACGCGTTCACATTCCGTGATTTTAGTGGGCGTACTAGCTGTTAATAGGCATGCTCTTCAGTTCGAGTACTAGTCGAATTTGGCTGCTCGAATTGAGACCGCGTACACTTTTCAAACTGAAGTGTCATCAACAACTAACGAGTCGCCGTGTATGCCAAGAAGCCACAACCAGTCAGCCAGTCGACCAACCAACGCATCAGCCCAGTTCAGGCAGCTAGGCCCGGCAGCCCAGGCCAACCAACGGCAGTGCAGTCAATGCATTGCACATACAAACAAACAAACAAAAGTCATCAACAACCACCAATACACACACACAAACACGTGTGGAGAGTCTTATGAAGAACGTCAGCCATCGAGCAGTAAATAGGTATGCGGACAGACAGGCCAACAGGCAAGCCTTTGTGCAACTTCATTCACTCGGTCGGCGCAACAACAAAGTCATTCAGCTGAATTGTTTCCTTTTTCGATCGATTTTACTAAGTGGCTTCTCATGTCCTGCGCGCACAATAACAACAAACACTACAACACAAGCACGCATACTTCAGTCGAGAGCGGTGGAGCGGTTATCGAGTCGAGTCGAGTAGAGTAGAGTAGAGTGGAGTGGAGTGGAAAAAGCAACCAGCAACCACCACCGTAGCAGCGCTCGCAGGCTCGGCCCAGTCGACTCGTTGTCTATTTTGCTTGCCTCGTGTGTTTGTGCCTGTGTGCGTGTTGTGATGAGTGAATTATCCTTGTGCTCGAGAGGCTGTCTATGCGTGCGACTGCAATGGCTAATATGCTGTCGTTGCCTTCGTGACCACGACTCGTCGTGTGCTCTGTACGAAGCGGCTTAGATAGCCGAGAGGGTACTTGAGTGTTGAGTTGGAATTTCGAGTTCCACCATTGTCTGTGGTGCTAAGTAGGGCACTACTGTGTGCTACTTATGACTTTTGTTGTTGTTGTTTGTGTTGCTTGTTTTTGTTGTTGCGTACATATTGCGTCTTTGAAACCCAGCTTCCAACGGGCCAGGGACGCTTGAAACGGCCAGCCAATCAAGCAGCAAGAAGCAGCGCTGCGACTATAGCGCTGAGCGCGGTTTGTGGAGCTCTATTCTTGGCAACGTCTGCGCTGGAGCGCAATTAGCGTGTAAGCGTTGTTGCACACTAGTAGGAGGCTTTTGAACCGGTAGCTGCTGTGAGTTTTGGTGAGTGAAATTTCAATGATGTGCTGCTGGAGACCCACATCGGCGGCCATATTGGCATGGTGCCATAAATTCTGGTTCCTGCTCTGTCGAGCTTAAGCGTCTACAGCGACCAGCAGCAGCAATACATTGGTTTCAAGCTTTACGTAATGTGCTTAGTTGTTGTCTTATGCTAGTTTTGATTGTTTTTGTAATCTGCTTCATGTCATAAGGTTATGCTTTGCCGTTCCGTTGCTGCTCAGCGCTTATGTGCGCTTACTTCCGCTCTGATATTGCAACGTCAACATTTCCATTTTCATCATCATGCTCATCTGTCTGAGTGTGTTATGTGTTTGGGTTTTTAGAAAAGCCAATAGCCGCATTGTCATCAGTTTTTACGTAATACTACTCTATTAGCTGCCACTACAACAACAGCAGTTGTAACTAATCTTATTACATCTGTTCTTATTGCTTATTTCTCTTTTAGTCATAGCTGTGGGGAGTCTGTTCAGTTAACTTATAGGCTCAATGCAGATATTAGTTACTACTTTTTAGGCTTAGTTGGCTCTGCCTTGACTGTCATACTTTCTTTAGAGCGCTTTTTAGGCACGTGTTCCGTTGTAGGTACACACTTGCTAGGCTTAGAGACCTTTATAAATAAGTTGGGTTAATAAATGACTGGCATTGCAGTTGTAGTAGTTCTCTACTATTCATACATTGAGATCTCTTCCATATATAGTAGGCGATGGGTGACAGACCCGCATTAGTATAGCTAGAACTACATAGTAGACATGACAAGCGACATATTCCTGCTGCAAGAACATATTGTGAAGCTGCCAATCATTTCAACTTTCTGGAACCCAAGTAGTGGTATTTTTGTCTACCATATCCGCACTTCTACTTTTAATAAGTACTGCGAAGGTGTGTCAAACAGATTGCTTCCACATCGCCGCTTCACAATAAGAGATGTAATAACTTTTACTCAGCGAAAGCACACAGTTGTAAGCAGTTTTTTCCTACCTTAAATCTAAATACTATAGGCCTAGGTGCGTTAGACAGCCACTCTACCTCTCTACCTAAATCTAAATACAGTGCGTTTGAACTTTGTTTACCAATTATGAGCAGGTCTATAGAAATAAAATTTAGCTTCCTAGTTCACAATGAACATACTCGCTTTAAAAGAGCATGCTGGTATAATCTAGATTATTGTGCAATACTTATAGTCTAAACAGTCACCGACGCAAAACCGTCGACCGAATCAGCTGATACGAACAATCTTATGAGAGCGCAATGTAAAGGAACAGTCACGACCGGAGCATAACTTTGGACAAATTTGGTTTGATAAGGGCGTTAAGTACGGCAGGGAAGAATGTCGGTGACTGTTTGAAGCATGAGTCTCTCAAATGTAGACGAGTTGCCTGAATTATATTGCTCAAAACCACAAATGGATTGTTTCAGATGTCTATATTTGTAAACTGATTATACTACTTAGAGTTTAGCTTGTGTCAGACCAGGACGCACAAGTTATAGTGGTCATTTTTACGCAGTGTGAGTTTTAGCTACGTTGCTTCTACCATTTGTAGTTTTAGTTTTGATGCCATCTGTGAAATGGGTAACCCGGTAACTCTGTAAACTGTTTTTCTATATTAAATTGGAGAGATTTCATAAAAAAGCGCATGATGGATTGCAGAAAATCTTTTTTGAGTAACTAATTACGAAGAATTAGTAGGTGGCTGTGAATGCAGCAGCGAATTTCAAGTAGTAATGCTGGATATCAGAGCGAGCTGAACGTACGCAATACTAGGAGAGCAGGCTTTTGTTCATCTTAACTGTAACTCTTCTCTCTATCAAACGTTTACCAAGTTTTTGCGGCACATTGCAGTGACAAATTGAACTTTTTAAACAAAATCAGACTTGGTTTTAGCTGCAGTTTGCGCCTAGACTAAACTTGTTGCTAATGCTTATCAATATTGTGGGCTCAATTGGTATTACTTTTGAAAAACTTCGAAACACGTGGCGCGTTGTGAAGTTAAAGGAAAGCAGTCGACTATATTGGCAATACTACTGAGTTAATTTTCAATCGGATATAAAACCGGTGCCGTTATTATTTCGTAGAACAAACTTTGTGAAAATGTTGCAACGTTTTCTGAGAGTATACCGTTGCTAGATATCTGCATTGTGAATTGGTACTGAGTATATTTCTATTCAGTATAAGAATAAAATCAAATGCAAATCATGGAAATTATACGCTCTGCCTCTTTTAAAGTAAATAAATTACTTTTGAGAAGGCTCATAATGAACGCAAATTTATTGAAACCTATTTATGTATGCGACACACACTACTTGCGCTTTGAGAGGCCACTCCAGCGCACATTCGCGTATGCGTTGCGAAAAAGGATATGAAACCGAAAAATCTAATAAAGTTCTCAAATGACGGATACTAAACATTCAACAAGGATTACATTACGCCAGACAGCCCCTAAAAGCATGCCACACGCACAACGTATATTTGTACATCTATATATGTATGTGTGTATATGTGCGCAAGCAAGCAAAGCTGAAAATACATATGCTTTTCGAACAAAGATGGCTAACAATGCCAGCAATAACAATAAAAACAATAAGCGCAACAACAACAGCAATAATAATAATGTAATATGCTTAGTACTCGCTGGAGTGTGTGAACAACAAAAACCGTTTCGAAAAAATTACGAAATCAGTGCAACAAAAACGCTTTTAAATGTGCATAGTACAGCAACAACACTAACAAAAAAAAAAATACAAACGCTAACGCCTCCCAACCAGTTCCACGCTACATTAGTAAAAAGGCACGAAGCATTGTTGTTGCGCGCATAGCGCTGCATAGCTAATAACTAGGTAGCGCGCGTCGCGCTCTGCTCAAACAGCCAATCAAAATGCGACGCTGGCTTTGTTGTTGCCTACTGCATGCCAGTGGGTTTTGCATGGAAGTGTGCGAGCGCGAGCGAGTAGGCAACTGCATTAAGCGTATAACTATTTATGTTTGCCTTTGTTGCCGTCGCAGCACTTGCGCATTGCATTAACGGGATTTTGGGAAATTTTCTCGCGCTACTCCTTCGCTTTAAGCAGCAAAAGGATATTGAGCAGCATGCGGGAAATTCCTAGTTGCTTGTTGCGGCGTTCAAGTGCCACAAGCGCTAGGCCGCTGATAATGGCGTCTATGAAAGAGAACAAAAGAGCAAAAGAGCGAGTTGCGTAGTTTTGTTAGCGCAAGGATGTGCCAGCTGCGCTTATGAAAAATATGCTTGTTAAATAATTGTGCACGCCTACTTGCGGGGTTTTCCACACGTTGCACTACATACGTGAGCGCTTAATAGTAGTTGCTCTTTTGTTTTCAAGCGCTCGTTAGCGTTAATGGTGTTGTGAAGAGTGCGCAGCATACACTTTTTGCCTTCCAGCTTGAATGTTCGTTTGCGCCGTTAACAAGTGCATATTTCCAGTGTACGTTAAATATTATTTGAAGCGCATACATAAACATTATTAATACATAAACGGTGCTTCTTAAATAAAAATTCGATTTTTGAGGCGCTTCAACTGTCTAGCGCTGTACGGACAACATTCGCCCAACACACCAGCTCTATAAATATGGGTATGCGTGCTCATTCTTTCACTTTTCTGTATATTTATGTAGCTGGGGTAACTGCTGCTCGGCACTCGACAGGACATAGGTGTGGCTTGCTCCACTTAGAACGCGGCTCATGGCAAAGTATATACTCACTTAAATTGATATGCCGAGTAGCACTTAGTTCGTATACTATATTTGCACACTTATGGACGCACAAAAACACACACACGCTTATGTAGTGTTACTCGCATGTTTATATATATGTGTATATGTCCTTGCGTTTTTGGGACGCCTGGAGTGGCGTCACTCATGTGTTGAGTGTATGCATGCCTGGCGGCCATTTATTAAAGTCATTAGCATCTACTGTTTATTATGTATTTTGCCGTGTCATATAGACACTTTCATTAGGCTTTATATGCATATGTGTATTAAAAATAATATGAATATATATATACAAACTTTTTAAAGCCAACGGCGCTTTCTAGTTACGGCAGTATGCTAGTAGTTATGTGTGTGTGCATATAATTTCTGTAAGTATTAAAATTCGCTAAAGTTCATGCCGCTAAAGTTTGGCTGATGCGCGAAAAGTTTTAGCAACTTTTATCACCCGTAGTTTATTGCACTTAGTGCCAGGTTTTTTTTGCGAATCTACATAATTATTTACACAGCATTTTTGTAAGCCGATTTCCACGAGTCTTTTACCTACGCTTGCCGCAAATCTTACAACTCAAAACTGTCTTGAAGCTAAATAAAAACATTTTTCTAAAATTCTCGGTAAAATCTTCACAAAGCATTGTCGCTACCAAGCGTGCGCGCTAAGCACTTGAATATAAATGCCGCAAGTGTTTGGTTAGCAGCCAACGTTTATTCCAACGCAGAGCACGACTCTTCAAGTGAGTACTGCAGCATAATCGTTTGATAAGGTCTAGTGATATCTAAGGCTTCCATTCATTATTATTTATAAGACCAGTTCTTGTTGTAGCTTCACACCTTCAAGATATACAGCTATATATTAAGACCGAAAGTTTCCGGTTTTTTTTTCGATAATCGCGGTTTGGTTAATCATAAATTTATTCCAACGGGACAGACGGTCAATAAAGAGTATTATTTGAGCGTTTAAAGGCGTTTGCGCGAAAACATCCGTCATAAACGGGCGGAATTGTGGACCAACAATTCATGGATC